GCTCCAAAAGCCAGCCAGGTCTCTCACCAGGGAGGATCCATCACAAGATGAACACCTCCAGGGATTATCTGGCTCAGCTTCGGCAGAGGTCCCTGGTCCAAGCGTCTGGGATGCCGTCTCCTGGTTCTCGAGGCTCGGAAGAGAATCTGCAGACTCATCGCCCTGGCCGTCCATCTGGAACATCTCGGGAACCGGTGGCATCACAGGAAGAACAGGCTCCGGTGCCAACTCGACTTAACACTCGCACAGCTGAAAAGCGTGAAAGTCACAAGCACTCAGCGCAACATGTTTGCTCGCTACGCAAAGGTAAGAAGCTCAAGTGGGCCCGCCTCGAGAGGAAAAGGGCCGAAGATGCCCGAAGGCGTGTGCTCACAGGTCAATCAGCACACACGGCAGAAGGCTCAAATTTAACACTTTCTGTGCTCTTTCTGTGCTCTTGCGGGGCCTGCTTGCACGGCGTAGTAAAGAGCAGGTCGGCCAAAAGCATCGACCTCTGATCTCTCTCAAAGCTAAGGCGGCCAACGGTTGCGACAAACCGGGGAACCGTCCCTGCCTCACTGGCACTGCACCCCCTGTCCAGCAGCAATCGGAGAATCTCCCATCTCGATTTTTCTGTAGGATTGCCCATTGCATAGTAGAGAGCGTTGCGCTCCTGCGCATCCTGGCATAGTATATGTACTCGGCACTCCTGACATGTCCTGACACTATTGCCAATTGCTCGGCCTTCAGCAGCTCGATGCCCGGACAGGTCTGCAAAAGGATACGCACGGTCTCGATGTCGTTGCAGCACGCCTCGGCTTTGATCGCGAGAAAACAAGCCAGACTTTGGCGGCTGCATCGAATCGAGCGGCCAAGTGGAAGGCATTCCTTGGCTGAATTCTGGACTTCTGAAAGTCTGGATGGGCCTAACCCTATCTATCTCGATTCATCTCGACAACTAACCCTTCCGAGCGAAATCTTCGCAATGTCAAAGCGGCCGCCCCTTCTGGTCGCTGGCGAGAGGATGCGCCCGGTGCTGGAGGAGGCTGCGCACCGCGTTCCGGTGCCCATGCAAGGCCGCCAGGGCCAAGGGTGCAGCACCGTGGTCTCGCGGCGACGAGTCAGGTCAGAGCTCATTCGAAACCCTGAGCCACTAGGCCCACCTTCCACGGCCCGGACGTCCGCGCGGCGCTTCAAGAGCAGGGCACACACCTTCAAGCATGCTTAAGCACGCCAGAAGAGAGATTGACTTGCTGCGACTTGTGACTCCTGCCTCTGCATGTCCATGCTTGGCAGCACAATGAAGTGGCGTGCAGCCCTTCTGCTCACGGGCTTCCATGAGTTCAGACACAGAAACGTGCGAAACATCACCTTCAAAAAGCTCCATCTCTGCAGCGTGCTCAAGCACGCCCGAAACTTGGACTGCATCTCCTGGAACAGGGGATGCAGACGATGCAAACGTGTGAAGGCTCACTCTTCAGGCCTCTGGCGGCCGCCGCCAGGAGCACCTTGCTCAGTGCCGAGCGCGCATCGTTATGAAGCCGCTCGGAGGGAGCGAACTGCCGACGTCCTGCTGCAATGCATGGAACCCAGCTGCGACCTCTTTCCCCGGAAACAATTCCTCTGCGTGGGGTTGAGATGATCGCCGAGGCGCGCAAGTGTCCCGTGTTTGTCTTGGCGAAGCCTTGCCTCGACCAGCCTGACTGCCCCACCGACCGATCGGCATCTTTTCCCTCCGGACACCAGAACTCGACATTCTCTAATGCACCGCAAGGTGCGGTGCCTGATGCTTTCGAGTCGCGACTGCAGCGACGAGCTTCGACCATGAGACGATCCACCTTTCGGCTTAGGCCTTTCCCAACCAGATGTTATGCTATTGCCGCTCCCCTCTGGAATCCATGTTGTCTGATGTGCACGCCCAGGTCTTTGCTGGAGTTCAGTGCTCTATCTTCAGATCTTGCAGCTGACTTTGTCGAGCTATCTCAGGATGCAGCATCGTTTTATCCCTTGTGGCATGGCTGCTCCACTTTCCTCCCCAGTGTGGCCGTGATACCGCCATGTCTAGGTCCTAGCATGACACATTGCCCGGCCGTTTCCAGTTGGTATGTTAACTCGATCTCTCAACATAAAGAGTCAGTCTTCTGCGACCCTGATGCCATCACGCAGGAAGAGACTCAGGCTTCACAAAGCTGTCCGCTTCTCTACAGCCGTTGATGCATGGATGCTGAGATGTGAGCTGTCCTGTGGAGGGATCCCAGGAGACTCTGAACAGAGGCGAGTATGGCGAGAAGTCGCGCGTTTGTGGCGCTTTCTCCTGCGACTGAAGCTCTGCTGGTCGCCTCCTTTCGTTCATTGACGCCGACCGACTGTCTACCATCAGTGGGCTGGACGGCCGCGTGGAAGGACTGCGGCTTGATGCCCGAGCCGACGCTTGCCTGATTCGGCTCCTGCCCTGGCCTTGATCCCGTGCATCCTTCGTGTTCCAGAACTTCTGCCATGGGACCTCGCCAGGTGCTGGGAGCCTTCGGGATGGCGACAGCGATCGCGATTTTGAGGACTGTGATGACCGCCCTGTCTCACCGGTTCGCCGCAACAACGACTGCGGAGGCTCGCGCTGCGATGTACCCTCTGACGCAGGCTGTGATGAGGGCTGCGACGCACGGAGCTGTCGCACAACCTCGACGGGCGTCCGCCTCTCCGGACCCAACACCTCGATGCCCAAGACGGGTATTCCGTCCATCTGCTATGTACAAGGGCTGCGAGTTGACGAGCTGCGGCTAAGCGGAGTTTACGGTGGTGCAGCATCTACAGTTGTTGAAGAGCTGCGCTGTGATGTGCAACCTAGCTGCCAATGTGGTTGGCGATGCCAGTCGAACTCTCGCTGGAACGAGCAAACCACACAGGACCACAAAGGCATCACTGCCCGTGACGAGTCTGCATCACACGGCGCTGACACCAAATCCAAGCGGGAGCAAGTAGGTGATCACACATGCATCACAACAGATTCGGTTGTTTTCGCTCTGCTTAGCAACAGCGGGAGCGGCGAATAGGCCCTGGATGCCCTCCAGGTGTCAGGACTTTACCATTATGAACAGTAGTATGAACAGCCTGCTCTCTTCTGAACTCCTGTTGATGAAGTGGAAGGCAAGGACAGGAAGACTCGGGCAAAATGAATTCTGTTGCGTTACCGGGAAGGCCTCTGTCTTCCAAGGCACGGCATGGCACTTGCCATCAAGCAGTCGCTAGATGACATGACCAAGTTTATGGGAACCCTTCCCTGCAAGCTGGCGTGCAGCTGCCACGCCGATTGACTCTTGGAGGCCCGGCCCCGAAAATCTCCCACTTACAGGCCTCCAAGGTGCATTGACGGCGGCTCCTCGGAGCCTCGGAGTTGAAATTTGACAAAAAAGACGAAGGTGCCAATGCGCAGTTTGGCGCGTCATCTTCGCTCCTTCGGAGCGTGGAACCTGGGGTTGCACTTTTGCTGCAGGAGCACCCGTGAAACGGCCCCCTCATTGCACACAGCACACGGAGCTCTTCCTGTCAGGTCAAAGGCGATTCTCTAACCCGAACGAGAGGATGCCGCTATATTCCACTACCCTCGAGTCCTCGAACTAAGCAGCTAAGCAGAACAGAAGCTTTCGTTGTTGCTCAGCAAAAAGAACGTTGACTTGCTGATGCAAGGGTGCCTCAAAGGTGTTCTCTTCTCTTGAGCCTAACATAGCCTAACCTTACTCCCAGAATGAAAACTTCGTCGCAAGAACTTTCCGGCAACGAGCGACTTTCTTTGAACATGTCCTGCTTGGGTCTGGCGCAGATGGCCCTGACCAGTCTTCAACGTCCACCATCACCTGTCTTGAGCTTTCAACCCGAATGCCCCAGTGGCCCTAGCAGCCCAAACGTCTCCAGCGACTCCAGCTGCAAGCCTCGAACTGGGCGAACACGGGACGGTGGTCCGAGCATTGCAGACAAGGTACCTGCACCCGGAACGGATCTGCTTTGCAGGGCTCGGCAATACATGTCATTGTTGCGAGGTCACGGAGTCATAAGCCAGAGACTTGATGTGTGGATCACGACGCCACAAAATCCGGTCCTGGCTGCTCATCCGAGCATGTTGTAGCAAGATAACATGAAGAATCGACTACGAGCGACTGTGAGTCTAGCTTAATGGCACATCACACCCCGTCTCCCATCTCTGTCCGTCCAACTCGGTACCCGCTGCTTCTTGGAAGAATCGTAGATATCCTGAACGTGCAACGTGACCCTGCTCACTGCGTTGCGGGTCGAAAAGCAAGCGCGAATGTCTTGCGCGAAAGAAAGAGAGAAAGAGAGAAAGAGAGAAAGAGAGAAAGAGAGAAAGAGAGAGAGAGAGAGAGAGAGAGAGAGCGCGCAAGAGATGATGAAATTAGAGTTACATAATCCTGACAGGAGAGGCTCAAAGCTCCGGAGAAACTCTCGAAACTGGAAGGTTACCAAGACCTGAGCTTCAGGCCGAGTGCTTGTCGAACTTGTAAGTAGGTGGAAAGTTAATCGCTGCCTCTCGAAAGACGCGCAACTGGGTTCCTCACTCCTTAGTTACTCTGCTTCACACCCCAAGCCTCCTCAAACTCTGGCCAGAATCCGACAGAGTCGCTGCCTCGCAACTGACAGCGGTTCGTTGCATGCGCGGGTGGCAAGCCATGTCAGTGCGATGTGTACCGTCCCTTAGAGACCGGAAGCAGTGCGAGACCGCGGTTCGCGGGGCTTTGGAAGGCCAGCTGATTCGACAGCACCGAATCTCCAAGGTTTAAGGACAAGACGGGGCATGTTCGCATGCCTTAAGATTGAGGTGCCCTTATTCATCCTGTAAACCTGGAAGGGGTTGGAACACGTCAGAGTCCCAAGAAGAGCGAACGCTGTTCAACGAAGCAACGTCACGCTGGTTCATCTCTGGTAGCCCGGGCTGGCAGCAAGGAACACCGCTTCTGGGACTTCGATGATGCCTCTATCAGTATACAGTATACAGGTCCGTGCTCTTGTGTTAGTTCGTGGCATCCTCGTCTGCCGTTGTCAGTCATGATGCTTCGGTATGCACAAGATGCATGCTGGCCAGATAACCTGGCCCAGCACTGCTTTTCGCAGGGGTTCTGCTGGTCGCAGGGATCAGTGGATCTGAGACTGCAATGGGAAACCTCGACCCGCGCAGGTCTCCTCAAGTCCCTCTTTCTTGCCCTGACTGTCGTTGTGGAGATCTCTTCATCCGTCTGCCCTGACTAGAGGCTCTCCCTGTCCTGCTGCACTCAGTTCTGTCCCTGCTCTTCCAAGAAAAAACCGAGCCTGGCCTGGATTGGATCTCAAAAGAGGCAACAGCTGGTCCTTTGCCAGGCACTTCTCGAACTGCCTGGGAAGGCGGATGCATGCGGATGTCAGTAGGGTTGCAAACTGAGGCTGCCACTTCTCTGTGATCCACTCCTCCACTTGAGCTCTGCTGGCATCCACCCGCGTGTTGAGATCGCCCTGCTTCTGCAATCCAGAACAAACAAGTAGCAGCATTTTCTAGATTCACCCTCACTTCGTGACGTATCTGTCAGCAGTCCATCACGAACACGCGGTCGTATTCCTCGTGGACGCCGCTCGAATCCTGAAAAAAGGCGGTGTCTGCAAAGCAGGGCTCGGCATGGAGGAGCCATTTCCTTCCGCTTTCTCAGCGGCGAGTCTGTCAGGATGCGTTGCAGGTTCTGCGTACGCTCCTGTGCACAGGGCTCAACCACAGCGGAACGGAGAGTGTCTTGTCTCGGCAGCCTTCATCTTGTTGGCATGTGCTGCGAGGTGGGCATTCACAAAAAGCATGGTGGTGTTCCCCACGTGAAAGGCTACCTGCAACTCGAAACTCAAACTACGAGTTCAGCATGGCTACAGCCGCTAGCCTAAAGAGCCCAAAACCCGACTGACCCGACCCAGAGCTTCCCCCAAGCGCCACATCTTTTTCCCCCGTCGTGCGGGTCAGCCCAGGGCTCCTCAGCCGTCCTCAGCTCATCTGACCGTCCCTTGAAAAGACAACAGTCCCGAGTTGCCACGATCCAGTCTTGCGAGTCTGGGCACTACTAGACGGAGCTGAGCATTTACAGAAAGCCTGAGACCAAACATGATGCCAATGTGAAGATCGAAAACTGGCTGTGGGCCACCCCGAAGAACGATTCTGCTTGACACATCTCGCTGTTGTCATAAGCCGTCATGGCCATCAGGCGCGTTAGGCCGTTGCACATTTGTGTCTGGAAAGCCCCGCCATGAAGCGCGCCGCTGTTTGGTTGCTGGATGCGTGGCACTGGTCCACAGCGTTTCGACAGCACGGCTCTGACAAATTCTGATATCTCTTTGGTCCTTTCCTACGTCCTACGTCTTGACTCAGGACGCCCGAAACCAAACATCCTCAGCACGCGTGAAGCTGCCTTTGAAACTGCCGCCTCTCGAGTACCAACTGCTGCCGTGACACTGGCTGGCCGGGGCCGGGGTTGCCTGTCTTACGAGTAGTTGAGTAGTTACTCAGCTGACCAGTGCCCCTCTGCAGCGTCAGAACTCAGAAAACAGTCCCCTTCAACACCCGCAACTGAACAGTGTTCGGGCCAATCATCACCCAGCCTTGGCTGGCAAACGACGTGCCTCAGTTTGGGTTTTCTCGCGCGCGCGCGCGGGCACGATAGAGCTTCAGGTCCGGGCTGCCTGTTGCACGGCATGTCCAACGGCGCCCGGATCCAGGTCTGAACAGAGGGCACGGAGCGCACGGAGCTGCAAGCTTCTCGACTTCTCGACTCCTTGCCTGAGTCGCTGCTGGTTGTCATGTCCGCCCAACGTTTCCGTGGCTTCATGGCAGCGGCCTGGCAGTGAAGAGGCAGCCGGCAGGAGACTCCCATCGCTTTCTGTGGAGCCTGCCAGCTGCTCATGGCAGCACCTGCAGCACCTCCAGCATCTGCATCGCTGCCCTCCTCATGGCACGGCGTGCACTACACGAAACGATACGAAACGTCTTGTCGGATGTTTTCGTCTTTCTGATCCACTTCTCTTTGACTACTTTTGTCTCCTCGTTGCTTTCGGAGAGCTCTTCCTCGCGGAATTCGCTGCCACTCCGGTGCCGTACATCGAGATCAGAGTCGCTACCTGGAGCCCAAGAAGAAAAATCCTTGTTTCCTGCATCCCTCTTCGAGAATCTGGACTCAGCAAGTTTGGTTGCATCGAGCCGCTGATCTCATGCCACTTCTTCCCCGCATGAGTGGTTCGCATTGAAGGAACCTCGTCGGCCAGCTCGTCCAGCTCCTCGAGTCAAGCGGACTTTGAGCCGAGCACAGGCCACACACACACACACACACAC